TTTACTTCTACAATCTTTTAAAAACACACAAACTACAATAGGTAGTGTTGTAGATCTATCACAGAAGTCGCTTCTGGAACTGCATACAATATTTTCCTTAAAAATTACTTTATTTTTACACAAAATCTTAAACATAACAGCATTTCTTGCAGCATCTATAACTTAACCTCCTTAAAACTAAGCAGCAACTCGGCATTGAAATATTTGAAAAACCTGTTCCCACATTTCTTTAGTCATACCCATATACAGATCTGGTCGAACGCAAAGTGCAGGTGGTAGAAATGTATACGCTCAGTTGAAGAATGAGCGTGCGGGCAAAGAGCAATGCGCACCGATTCTCTGGTCCATTGCGTTGTCAAAATTCAGTTGTCGACTAGTCGCCTAGCAGTGCAGTGCGGGAATGCAAAATTTGGTGTGATTCAGATAATTTTAATTTATTATAGGCATCCTTCTATTAATCATTCATATTACAATTGCGAAAGGGAAAAATACGAGGGATATTTGGTTTACTAATATCATTACAACATGTCATTTTGTAAACCTTTTGAAATGGAACAAAACGAAATTTACCATCAATATAATAAAATTGTTTAAGGACATAAATAAAATATGTTGTTGGTCAAATGAACATATAATAGAAATTTTCTACACATTATACATATACAAATTATTATAATTTTCTACCTTTAGCAGAAAACTTTTTTAGGGACGCTCATGAAACTCATTAAATTTGATTGCGCGGTTTTTTTATGCATGTTCAACTGACTTCGGAAGAACTATAACGGTTGGACTAAACAGAGCCCAAATTATGCATAGTAAATATGCGCTACTCCCATTTCGTCTTTCGCTGATGCGCGACGGTAACCATGACCACCACTGTGAATACTTTACTGATTTAGGGGCGAGCCACGAGGAGCTCAGGCATTCAGTGATTTTCGTATGAATTTTTCAAGTCTAGTTAAATTGACTGCACATTTAACATTTTCTTTTTAATGTGTTTCATAACACTAATCTACATATTTAATTATCTAGATAACGTGTAATCAAATATTAAATATTTTTTTACAATGCACATTTCTAGGTGGGCGGCGCCCCAGAGCCCCCCGCACCAGCCGTCACTGCTGATATTCCACGATATTTTTTGGACAGTTTAGCATTCTTAGACCTTTCGATTCCTGAAAATGTAGAATTCAAACTCAAACATAACAAATCATCTATTAGATACATCTTTTCTGAATTAATTATTTTAAAACATTCAAGCATAAGAAGCGGTGTTTAGAAACCAAAAATTTCGATTTTGACAGTGCGAAATCGCTGCCAGCGGCCCATAAATCAGAGCTGAAAGAGCGGACTCCATTCCAGACATCTCGACCCGACGGCTCTCTCGCGACCGGAGCAGATATTTTTCGGTCTTGAATAACAGAGGGTGACGTCACGACGGGTTGGCCTTGGCCTTTAAATCGAATCGTTTTTTTGCGAATAATTTCCTCCTGCCGCCGCCGATTCGGATTCCCTCTCGCGAGGCGAATCGCTGACGCTGCAGGAATTATCCACGCCGTATTTTCGAGGCAACCGAATACAGACGTGTTAAATTTTTGAGTGCGCCGCACGATCGCAGCTTAGGTTAGTAAAAAAAAACCTCGTTGTACATCTGAAATAAGTCTATGTTTCTCAATGGAGCAGTCGATATTTATGAAGCTGACGGGTTTTTAAGCACAACCCCGTGAAGAAGTAATTTCGACACATTTCGGTGATCTTCTTATACTTCCTACAATGATAGAAAAAAAAATGTTTGTCTTAATGTCACGGGCTTGACTTTAGAGAAAAGTTGAGTAGCGATAACTTCTGTTTTCTAGATTCTTTCAAGAAGAGCGGTTTTCTAAGATAATAATTACTCAGATCTACACATCGAAAGGTTCAAAAGGCTATTTTGAGTCTGACAGTCTTTCTAAGCCACTATTCCCTCTGAATCCAAAGCTGACCCTGTAATTTCTCCATCACGTTAGATAAGAAGAGATAATTAAACATAAAAGTACATTTTCTAATATTTTTTTCGTTATGCCACACATACCAAAATTTTTTTAACCTCAGTACTGTTACATTAACTTAAAGCATCAATTTAAATAAAATTGCGATATCAAATCAAATTATGCCCAGAGACGAATTAATTTTGAACAATGCCATTGTTTATCCAATATTTTCAACATATTTAAAGACAACCTTTTTGACCTTATACACACCTTACCACATATGCATACGTATTTATCTTCATTTCACTTTCTATTTGTTATCAACATCAAAAACATCGTTTCTATTCTTTGTTAGAATAGTTTATTTCTATCTATAACCCTTGAAGTAAGTATTCAACACTGAATCCATATTTAGGCTCAATACAAATAATCTGAATTCGAGTACTGCTTGAATATTACATTCAAGATTCAAGTAATAATGGATACTTTTTTCATGATTTTCTATATTCATACTCAGTTCACCTCAGTACAGTATTTATAGGTTAAGAAACTCATACTAGAAATATAAAAAACGTTATATTTATTCGCACTCATACAGAAACAATATGATATACAACCTTTTTTCAGAAAAGAATAAAATAATTACAAAATATTCAAGGGATAGTCACCTAAAGCTTAGAAAAAGTTAACTGGACGTAAGTGATTCCTGTTCGGAGGTACTTAGCACTTAGTACTTAGCAATGGGCATCGGCTTCACAAGCTTGACAAGAACCCTGAAGAGCACTGTAAGCGACCTGCTGTGAAGAACCCAATCAATTTACTTGTGCCAAAGCCTTTTGCAAAACTTGCATGGCTTAGTAGCCAGAAGCTGAGAAATAGGAAAACTTATGAACTGCTGGAGAGAAAGTTTGTAAGGTGAAGATATAAGCCTGGGACTGTTGCTGTTGAGACTAAGCTTTAGCTTCGCCTAGGCTTCCTGGCCTGAGTCCGAACTGAATGTAAGCTGGAGCTTTATACTGAACTTCTTCCGAGTTACGCCTTGGTAAGTGCTTGGAATCTCTTAGTTGTTTTGGGTTGCAGAATATTGGCGCCTTTGGGCAAGCAGCAGCTCCAACTGCTGAGTAAAGTTGTTGTTTTTGTTGCCGTTGAGCACCAGCTCATTTTCCAATGATCTGGTGAAGGAAGCCTAGTGTAACCACCACAGGGAGGGGGGACTGAAGAAGGAAACGTCAGCAGTAGAAGAGTATTGTTGAGATTGAGGTTGCAACGCAAAAGAGTACTGGAGAAAAATAGAAATGAATCATTGGTCCACATGCAAGTTAGTAAATACTTTTAGTTGAACATTTGAGAAACTCGGAGAAAATCTGTAGAAACTCAGTCCAAATGCAGCAGATTCAAGATATGGATTTGCAAAATATTGTAATTACATAATTCAGTTCAAATAAGGTATATAACAATTATTCATCTTGTTACTAAAGTTTATAGCAAATTATAACTCGTTCTTTTAGTTTTTGTAAACGGTCTGATACAAGTAGTAACACACCAGCTATGACAAGTTAGTCGATGAAAAAATGGAATATAATTATAATAATGCTAGCGAAGAATAATGATAAATAAAAGGTGCCTTACGGATACATTTAAAAAAAGAGTTAAATTATACATTTACTATGAGGAATTATTTTTCATTAAAACTTACCCAAGCATCATAATGTAGTAAATATTTTTGCCATGAATGGGAATGACGTTAATGTGTCTGAGAATTAAAAAAAAATATAATTAAAAAATATAACTAACTTGCCAAATAATATATTGCCAAAAATGTATGAATATTGTATGGACAAAGAATGTTTGAATACCGCTACTACATACAACGAAGAGATGAGTTACCTTGAATTGTTACTGAAAATTGTGTGAATTGCAAAGTAAATACACAATTTGTTAAAAATGATTACATGTATAAAATATCCATATTCTTACCGATATTTCTTTTAACTGAAATCATGCAATAAAAGCGTGCAATAAACGTTTTTATTGCACAATGTTTACACGGAAAATTGTCAATCGTGTCAAAACATTTTTTACGCGATTTTATACAATTTTTTGTGTAACATCTAGTGGTTCGCAATAATTTTCTATAACTGTCGGTTTTTAAAAAACTAAAAACATTTTATTAAACGAGACATCCTATATATTTAGTTTTTTGTAATCCGTATCAATACTTTATAATTCAGCTACCTATATATTAGCCCCCTAGAGAAAAAGTCGAGGTTTAACTGAGGTTTCTTTAAGGAAGTTTATCGGGTACGGAGGTACATCTAAAGTCTAACGAGAGTTTCTGTAGATCCGCTAGTGACTAAAGTAGTAAGCCTTTAGATTTGTCAACGTTGCACTTGGCTGGCTCGCTCGCCTCGGCGTTCGATCGCTCGCGTTCGATCATTCTGTTTGCTTGAACACCCGCAAATTTCAAATAATACGCTACGTCAAGACCGCGGCGTTGCCGCTATCATGCATATGGAGGATAAGTTAGTCAACGACAGCAGTTTGAAGGTTCCTTAGATATTGGTTTCCTATTTATACAAGTTGCTGTGGAAACTGTTCGTCAATTGTTGCACATTCTAAGTGGAAAGACCAAAAAAATGTGCATTCTCATAAGACTTTATACTAAATCGTGAAAAATTATTTTATTAATATCTCGTCTCTTATGGCCGATTGCACCGGCTTGACTTAAGTTTTAAGATATGCTTAAATTGCAAAGTAGTTCTTTATTTGTTGCACAGTTGTTTTAAACAGTACTTTATGTGCTAAGAATATCTTAAATATAAGTCTTCGCGAACGGAGGTTTAAATCTATACTTAACCTTACATTGTTTTAATGTAACTATTAAATTTTGATCTTGGTCGTGAAAATAGTTAAGAAATGGACAATTTTTTAATTATAGAAGATTATATATTCTTGGATATTATAATTTTAGAAATTATTCAAAATGGTATTCCGCGACAAGTTCATATAAGAAGTGATCATTTCAACAGTATGTCCGATTTACTATTTTTCCAACATTTTCGTCTAAAAAAGGAAACCGTATTATTTCTCTTGCAAAAAATAGAAGACAGGATAGAATATGACCATAATTGGTAAGTAAACTGGATATGTATTTAAGTTAATATTTATATCTACCTAGATAAATAGTAATAAATTGATTCATTTTTCTTTTAAGGAATAACAGTGTGTCGCCCATAAACCAGCTCTTGATATGTCTGAGATATTATGCTACAGGATGCCATCAGTTAAGCCTTGCATTCTTTGGAGGTATGGACAAGTCTACAGTAAATCGTATAATAAAAAGGGTAACATTAGCAATATGTCACCTGTCTCAGCAGTATATAAAACTTCCAGAAACAGAAGATCAAAAAAGGAATATTCAATTAGAGTTTTTTGGAATTGCGGCATTTCCAAAAGTTATAGGCGCTGTAGATTGCACACACATTAAAATTCAGTCACCGGGTAAGAGGTATTCTAAATACAACAAAATGATGAAGTGAACAACCAGACGTTTTCATTTTAGGTGGCGACGATGCAGAGATATTTCGTAATAGAAAAAATTTCTTTTCATTAAACGTACAAGCCGCAGTAGATGCCAATTACAAATTTTTAAATTTAGTAGCAAGATGGCCTGGTTCTACTCATGACAATACTATCTTCAATAATAGTATTTTAAAAGCATCTTTTGAGAGGAATGATTTTCCAAATTGTTTTCTATTAGGTATATATGTACCTAGTTGTTAAATATTTTACATAATATATATTTACTTTTATTTTAGGTGATAGTGGTTATGCCATAAAGAAATATTTATTGACTCCCCTACTGGAAACCAGAACCAGAGCTGAGAATACATACAATGAAGCACATATCCGGACCCGAGTAATAGTTGAAAATACATTTGGTATTTGGAAACGAAGGTTTCCCATATTGGCTTATGGTGTCAGAACAAAATTACAGCTGACGATGCATATTATCGTGGCAACGGCAATATTACACAACATTGCGAGGGAAGCGACAGAAGAACTTCCTCCAAATGATGATAGATACAACGAAGCAGCATTTCAACAACTCCTTAATAATGTACCTTTAAATGTTGTAAATGAAGGAAATTTACAGAATGATGGATTTCGTGTTCGACGTGAACTAATTGATAATTATTTTACATAATTTTATAAATAAACAAAAATATATATGGTAAAAGTTTAATATTTTTATTAACACAAAATAAAATCAAACATAACATTTCAACAAAAACTGAACGTCCAACTTAACTTTTTTCTGATTATTTTCATCCTAATACAAATAATACTCTATGTGTTACGGGTCTTGTTTAACAACTGTTCTTTTAATTCTAGTTCAGCTCTCATTAGCTTCATTTCTAGGTCATGTTTTTCTTCCTCGTACCTCATTTTTCTTTCTAGTGCACATTTTTCTATTTTAGCAATTTCTAGTCTCTCATCACATAACTCAGTATATTTTTTTGAAATTTCACTACTATGGAGGGCTGTTGCTCCTGGACGACGCTTCCTTTTATTGTCCAAACTTTCCACATTTTGTTGAACTTGTGGTTTTACATAATTAAGTTTTTGTTGTAAATTTTCATTTAATGGTTGTTTTAGGTTTTTTGGTACCCATTTACTATTAGTTGCCTCCGACGTATTATCAGCCTCTGTTTGTAGGTATATTACTTCTATGTCCACATCATTATATTCATTTTCATCGTTTTCCTCACATTCAGACAATTCTGAAATGAAATAAAGGAAAATTAGTTATGTTATAACCATGACATAATTTTTGTTGGTAATTTATTAATGACTGTTGTGTAATATTTTGTTACTTTTACAATTTAATGCTACAAAAGCTTTCGAATACAATTATTTACAGAAAATACCCAAAAATATGTACCTACACTAACGTTGCTATCTTTCAGCATAGTAATATCACTATCGAATTCATTTTCTAAACCAAATACAGTTTTCTTATTAATTGTATCCAATGTGATGTCACGTATTGTATTGATAACTTTAGTATCTGGTGGTCCACCTCCAGTTCTTATTAATGATAATCTCTCGTCTGCAACTTCTTTTCTTACATTCTTTTTCATATTGAGATATGCCTTCTTCAGGGAGTTTACATTTCTAGGTATATTATTTGGAGCAACAGAATTAAACTCATCACAAATTTTTTTAAATGTAGCTTCTTTTTCATTATTTGAACAAGAATCTGTTTTTTTATTTTCAATGACATGTTTATACTTATTAACTAATTGCATAAGTACACTTTTTTCTTCTAACGAGTAATTCGCTGTGCGAATTCTTTTAGTGTTTTTTTCTTCCATTTTACAGCTAGAAAACGGTCAAAATAAATAAGTATAATCTAATTTATATGAGAATTAATTCAGTCAGCACAAATTGTACATTAAAATCACTTACCTACTGACAAATTCTACTTTTCCTCTTATTAATAACACTTAACAGAGTATTAATTATTTTTTCATTCCACAATCCACAAAATTGAGGTTAAGTTCTAACGATTTGTTTGCAGAACTAGAGATATTATTAATATAGAGCGGCAACCACTTTTATATTAAAAGATCAATGAATTTGTCGAAATATTGTATGCCGCTTACCACCTAGAAAACGAGCTATACTTAAGTTAAGACGCGGTTTTTTAGGGATGGTGAGACACGATCTCAATTTAAGGCATGTTTAAAAATAAGTATGTCTTTACTAAGTCCGTATTTAAGTATTGGCGGTGCAATCGGCCATTAGGTATCCAAACTAGTCATAATATTGTTTGATGATTTTCTTCATATTAATAAGCTTATATTAATTTTTTTATGAATATTTGTTTGTCAATTCCATATCAGATAAACCTCCTTAAATGAAACACATATATCCCTATGACGCATGACGTAGCAAAAATGTTGAAAACGATTTCCGACCAACGCTTTTCATTATTCAAGTTTCTTCCTAATTTTCTTTCATACATATTGCAGGAAGAGATTGTTTACCTGCTAGTTTTTTTTTTAAGATTTTTTATGCTTTATTAGCGTGTATAGATAAAAAAATGGAAATTTTCTTTAGTTTTTAAAATGAACATATAATTTGTCAAAAAGGAGGTTTAAAACGATTCTTTCTGTCGTATTGCCTCAAATTGTCACAGAAAATATAAATGATTTAATTACTTACATGAATAATATTTATTATGAGGATTGGGGAGAAAGAACTTAATTTTACTGCTCCAGAAAAACTGCGGGCTCTAAAAGAAGTAAAAGTACTCGTTTGTAATGTGTATTATTTAAAAAATATCCACTTATACCATTGTTTGACAACAATAGTACATTGTAATGTAACGTGACATTAATTGTAATGAGAGAGGTGTGTGCATATGCTACGCGGCGTGACAGCATTTTTATTGCATTTACTCTAGCTGAAAACAAACGACCATTTACGTAGAGGCAGATAAACGTTCCGAACGTCAAACTCTCTTCACAGAAGACATACGTGCTGTATCAAATATGATCTAATGTCTACATCACTATGACATCGTTTCTGCTGACAGTGTTTATATTTAAAACAATGCTATAATAATTAATAAACAGTTAATAATAAATTAAGAAGTCATTCTTTATTGCACAAATAATTTTATTAAAAGCACAGGCGAAACTAATTTTTATGAATGTTTCATGAATACTTGAACAACTACGCCAATTTTTTGTAAATGCCACATAGGTGGCTAGCATTCTTTATGAATAAATTAGGGACGCCAACTATGTGGATATTCTATGTTTTAAATAGGTATGCATGGGGGAAAAAACGTTTCCACGAAAAAAAAATGATTAATATAAACAATCATATACATATTTCTTTATTTTATTTTTCATTTCAATTTACTGTACATACTATTAGGTATTATTTTATTGTTGTCGTTGGCGGTGCTAATAACAAAATAGATAAAACCACAAAGAAGCGCAATTAGCTTTAAAATTAAATTCAAAAGTGGCGATCAAACTGGTTGAAGTACAGGAATCGTGTAACCAGAGGTCTCTGAAGAATCTTTACCAAAGGGTCGAAACACAGGCTGAGCAGGAAAATAAAAAACCCTATATATAAATCCGTGAAAAACTATTTTCCCGCTATCGCAGAACAAAAAAATCCTACCGGAAATATAAATTTCTATTACAAAACATCACTAGAAGCAAAAAACCTCAACTCAATATTTTAATGGATAATGGAAGACCACGCTTAGAACATATCTGGAACTTTGGGACCTAGCACAGCTCTATGAGGCCGACATCCATGAGAAACGCCATCTACGCAGAAACTTCATCCATCTAAAAGTAGAAAATCTAAATGGCACTTTTTAAAACTATCAACAGCTATAAAGGTACCTAATTTTGATCGTTAACTATTTTGTTTTTAGAGTTATAAAAAGATGTGAAATACAAAAGTTGCACGATTTTTTATGATTTTTTTCTGAAATAATAGTAGAAAAACAAATGAAGTCCAAACAAAATGGCCGCGGATGTCAACTTTGTTAATTTAAATGAAGCACCCTGTATATTTTTACATATTTGGATAGAACGTTCTCTGTCGAGCATAGTCATATAAGGTTTGTTGGATCCATCTCTAACAGTAAGGGAGATATTACTAAAAAAAAAAGAAAGTTTTGTATATAGAAAATAAGGTATCTTGTAATTGTTAGACCTCTTTTAGGCATTTCTGCCTTTTTTCCAATTACGTAAGGATTTACAGATTTAGTTGTAATATATTTTGACATATCGGACATTGATATGGTCCAAACGTTTGTGCATGGTTTGTTCCACATAAATTGACTGACGACCAAAAATTGCTCAGATTTCAACATTCGAAGAACATCATCAAGGAGGCCAAAAACTTCCTTTACAACAGTGTGATTGATGATGAAAAGTGGTGTTTTGAATATGGTCCAGAAACCAAGCTCCAAAGTGCCAAGTGGAAGGCGCCAGACGAGTCAAAACCCTAAAAATCTCGTTTGGAGAAATCAAAAGTGAAGACAATGTTGATTTGTTTTCAGAATTGTAAGGACATTGTCCACCAGGCTAAACCACAAATCGTTAATGCACAATTCTATCTTGACGTTTTGAAGCGTTTGGACAGAAAATCGCCCAGAAGGAAGTTGGCGTTTGTGGCACGATATTGCGACACTTCATCGATGGCACTTGTGACCGATTTTTTTTACTAAAAATCGCATTTTAACTGTCAACTGGTCCCTGTCTTCGCCTGATTTGACACCGTGCTTTTGGCGATGAAAGATTAGAGTTTTGTGGACATAGAAACCATCCAGAAGGCTTGTATCGACATCCTGAAGGTCACCCCGGCTGACAATCTAAAACACTCATTCGACATGCTTTTAGACAGTGCAAATCGTTGTATTGAATCGGAAGGGGACTATTTTGAACAAAATAAACCGGTTTGCCAAAAAAAAGTTTTGTTCTTATTTTTAAAAAGTCCTGTTTGGAAAGCACGTTGTAGACCGTTTGTCAATAAAATCATGATTATATGGAGTCATGTAGTTATACTTGAGAATATAAGAGTTTAAACAGAATTGCTAGAAGTCTACAGTTATTCACAAGATGGAGGTTAAATAAAAGTGGATACACATATTTCAAAAAATTATAATAAATAAAATACTAGTGGTCTTACTTGAAATCGTAAAGCAAAAGCATGCATTACCAGTTTATATTGCACAGGCTCTTATAACAGCCAATTTTTTACACTGGAAACTATGTAAAAAAGCTGTAACTTTTCTACACTTCGCATTCAAAGCGTACTGTACTATACTTGCACAAAAACAACGCAAAGACGTAAACTTTTGTTTTACTATCAAACCCACAAAGTTGTAGGATATACTAATGGATCCGTTATTGTACGTTCCCTATCACAATCTATTTTTAAAGCAGGTAGACAGTTTTTTATCTTTTACAATTATCCGAGGTCCAAGCCATTAAAATTAACAGCCGTTTTAGTATGAAATCAGGTAGCTGGTTCCAAAAACCGGTTTGTGTAGAAGTACATAAAAATATGATTACATACTTAGCTTCAAGACTGTAATAAAATATTGTAATTTAAAGTCATAGTTTTGGTAGAAGATCGTATTCTGGTGTGTAATGGTTTTGAAAGTAAACGTGATCAGGCATTTCCAACATCATGGCTAGAACAAGA